TACACAACACGGCCACCCGTGTCACACGACACGGGCCGTGTCACACAACACGGCCACCCGTGTTGCACCTCTGTTTGAGGTTTTCAACGTGTAAAGTACCCAGACCTTATGACACGGGTCGTGTCACACAACACGGCCACCCGTGTCACACTGCTGTTTGGCCTCAAAAACATTTTTTCTCCCAGACCCTATGACACGGGCCGTGTCACACAACACGGCCACCCGTGTCACACAACACGGCCACCCGTGTCACACCTCTGTCACACTTAAAAACTCCTTGTTGCATGTACCTTATGACACGGGCCGTGTCACACAAAACGGCCACCCGTGTTACACCACTGTTTTCTCACTTTTTTTTGATATTTTACCTCCAAAAAACTTTTTCTCCCGTTTTTTTTGCATGTCTCAATTTTTTTAGCCGATTAACCCCATATGTTTGCATGATTTTAGTGTGAATATTGTTATTGTCCTTGTTGACTTTTGATTCCAAAAACCATTTTCAAAAACAAACTCTCGATTTTGTCGAGCCATTTTTAACCTTGTAAGGCGGTTGCCTTGTCCACCGCCATCGACCTTGTCTGTATCGCTTCAAATGTATCTTTACAAACAATAAACCTTGATCCAACGTCAAGTGGTCCTTTTTTCTCATAAAAGTCCAAAACACAATAAAATATACGATTATAATTATGCACCATGAGCTTTAAAGTGGTAGAGAAGGAACGAGAATGAAATCCTCCTACACTCGTTCCGAATGTTTTAAATACAAGGCGCTCGACTTGGTTATTCGATACATTCATCTCTATCCAAAGTCTTTTGTATAATCCTAGTCAAGGATAGATTCTTCCCTAAGAAAAACCTAAAAATAACATCAACTCATCAAACTATTTTTCGCCTTAGGGCATCAATCGAAAAACCATTTTTCAAGGTATAAAATCAACCAACAAACAACTATTTCGTAAGCCTCCGAACTACGGAGCTCAGATTCTTCACTTCTTTTAAGTGAGGATACGTAGGCACAAGGGCCACAATCCTTGGCGAGCATTAAAATAAATAAACCAACCCCTCTTTTCCCTAAGCAAGCAAACTCTTAATAAAAACACCCATTCACGCGAAATAACCTAGAAGGTTCCCATCGAGTACGATGGATGCGAGGGGGTGCTAACACCTTCCCCTCGCATAACCGACTTCCGAACCCTAAGACTTGGTTGCGATGACCACGCTCTTTTACCAAAGGTTTTATCGCTATTTCCCTTTCCCTCCTTGGGATAAATAAAATCCGGTGGCGACTCTGTGTCATTTTTCGCGTAGCGACAACGACGACATATAGGTGGTGAGAATATATCAAAGGTGAGTAGTTTGAGTAATAGTCTTGAATTAGTTGAAAATGTGGAGACTTAAACATTTATAAGTTAGAGAATTCAACCACCTATCACCTTAAGATTTTGAGTGAATATGTGGTCTGTCTCTCACAAAAATGTTGTTTAAAGGAAAGTCTCACAATATTCAATGTGTGTATATGTGTGTGTGTGTGTGTGTGTGGGTGTGTGTGTGTGTGTGTGCGTGTGCGTGTGTGTGTTTAATATCTTGTGTAACTCTATGGATGTCATTTAGACAATGAATGTAATTAATATCAATTAATTTTATATTTTAGTAGAAAGAGAATTTAATAACTATTAAAATTATTTTATTTTTATTATTATACTCCGACGCTCAAGTCAACATGTGAAAGAGTAGAGAGTATAGTGACCTATTTAGAGAGTTATAGTGACCTATTTAGAGACTTATATATTTTTTTCAATATAGAGACCAAATTAGAGACCTTATTTCAAACTTTGAAGTTGAAAGTTTTTCGATCATTTTATCGATTGCTACGAAAATTTAAAGAATAAATTAGAGATCGACAATTAGTGACCATAAAAACAGTCACAAACATTTTTTCACTAAAAAAAACTTCAATCAAATGTTATTATTATTTATTTCACCGAAAACATTTGCTTCAAATTTTTTCTCCAATAAGTGGACTCATTTTTCCCTTAATTACTTTTTATTTTTCTAATATAAATATCAGTTATAAACTAATATCTATTATTTTTTATTTTATTGATCACAAATTCATTATTCATTTAACTTAAAAAAATAACAAAAGTAATATAAAAATATATTATACATATTTTGATTAAATTTTAAAATTATAATTATATTAAATTTCACTTCCCTCTCAAGTCAAACTTTCCAACACTAAATCACTTTCTCAGCGTCTTCTCTTTTCTACCGCTATGGTTACGCCATCGATTTCTTAGGTAGTCTCCGCCATTACCATCGGCATGAATTTCTTCTCTCTGTCACTAATTCAACCTATATATCTCTATAAATTAGATTTAACTAGTATCTCTCATTTCGTTTTTGTTTATCTCTCTCATTTCTTTTTTGTATATCTCTATAAAAATATATTATACATATTTTGATTAAATTTTAAAATTATAATTATATTAATTTTCACTTCCCTCTCAAGTCAAAGTTTTCAACACTAAATCACTTTCCTACCGCTATGCTTACGCCATCTTAGGTAGTCTCAAGTCAAAGTTTTCAACACTAAATCACTTTCCTACCGCTATGCTTACGCCATCTTAGGTAGTCTCCGCCATTACCATCGGCATGAATTTCTGTCACCAATTCAAGATATATCTCTATAAATTAGATTTAAATAGTATCTCTCATTTCTTTTTTGTTTATCTCTCTCGCTATCTTTAGGATTCAACTTCTTTATTGTATTGTTCTAATTAAATGGTGAAATTACTACATAATTTTTAATCTAAATAATGTAGAATTGTTGATTTTTTTAGGATTTAATATGTTTAGGTTTGTATAGTAATCATTTTTAGGATTTCAAGTTTCGGTTCAAAATTGAATTGTGATTTTAGGAATATTGTTTTTATGGAGTTTGTGTTGAATATCTGAAATGGGTCTTCTTAAATATGACTTGAAATTTGGTTTGAATTTTTTAATATTGATAACTTATATTTTCTTCCAATAATTGTGTTTTTGAATTTTTTTTTTCTTTTGAATGTAATTTCCACCGATTTATAAGAGTTTTATTTTGTTATGGGTTTGTTATTATTTTTATCATTAAAGACACAGTTAGCATGATAAACAGTCATTATTCCTAAGAATTGAGTCAAAGATTGAGTTATAAGATAAAACTCTCGGGGAGAAACTGTGGCGGTTAGCAAGGTGGAGGGTGTGAATAGAGTTTTCCATTTGGTTAAGTTAGAAAATTGATTTCTTCTATTTGCCACAACCCCTGTTGCATCACCAACAGTAGTTGGTTGTTCTTGGAAAACTAACATAAAGTGGTCTTTGCATTAGGTTTGTATAGTAATCATTTTTAGGATTTCATGTTTCTGGTTCAAAATTGAATTGTGATTTTAGGAATATTGTTTTTATGGAGTTTGTGTTGAATATCTGAAACGGGTCTTCTTAAATATGACTTAAAATTTGGTTTGAATTTTTTATTTTTATTTTTTAATATTGATAACTTATATTTTCTTTCAATAATTGTGTTTTTGGATTTTTTTTCTTTTGAATGTAATTTCCACCGATTTATAAGAGTTTTATTTTGTTATGGCTTTGTTATTATTTTTATCTTTAAATTTTGTTGATTTTCATCACTTAACTGCCTAAAGTTATTGCTTCTATCATGGATACATTAGTGTCCTTAAAGAGTATATAAAGTTTATGCTTTTTTGGTAATTAGTAGTTAGGCAGTTATCAAAATTTCAGCACTTTCATTGTGTTGAGCTCTAGCTGCATTTAGGGATGCCAAAAGTAGGTAATTAGAACTTGATGATTGCAAAGCTTTGAGGCACTTGGATATTTTGCCTTATCTACGATGCCACCCGACATGTGCAACATAGATTACTGAGGGAAAGTGCAAAGAACCTTGTGAGTAGATTGTACATCTAGATCAACACCTTGTTATGAATCATGTCATTAAAGACACGGTTAGCATGATAAACAGTCATTATTCCTAAGAATTGAGTCAAAGATTGAGTTATAAGATAAAACTCTCGGGGAGAAACTGTGGCGGTTAGCAAGGTGGAGGGTGTGAATAGAGTTTCCCATTTGGTTAAGTTAGAAAATTGATTTCTTCTATTTGCCACAACCCCTTGTTGCATCACCAACAGTAGCTGGCTGTTCTTGGAAAACTAACATAAAGTGGTCTTTGCATTATGCATATGATTTAGTGATGCAGGGAAAACTGAAGCCACTCTCTCCTGTGAGTGCTCACTGATAATGATTGTCTTATATGAAATTAGTCATCTCTATTTGAGCTTGTTTTATACAGTAAACTGCAGAAATCAGTAGCAGATATGGAAAAGTTGTACCATGAGAGAAAAGGTGCTAATTTTGTCATGCCATCCAAACACCATGGACAGGAGAAGGTGTTCATTGATCCTTGCAATTTAATTTGAATTATGTTTTGCTTCTGATCTCTGCTTAACCTCACACTTGGTTGAATTTCTTCATTTAGGTTTTGAAGGGTCAACTCTTTGTGGATCAATATTGTGAAAAGTAACAATTCAGCTTTATTGATTACATATCTAGTGGATTTGAACTAAACTTTATGGTTGTGGTAGATTTCACAGGTAAATGTTTAATGTTCTATTTCCTAAAGTGATTAGTACTAATTTCGTTTTTGTTGTTTGTTAAGTTCTTTGATATTTGTTCAGCTTCCTATGGAAATCCTCAACAGCCAGATTCTCTGCATTACATTAGTGGATCCGGTCGGTTAAATTCATATCAAAAGGTATGCTTGATACTTTTCAATGAACATTCCAAGGTTTTTAATCCATCAACTTGTGAAACACAATGGAATCAACCATATTCAAGATTTCACTATGATCATATATTATTTCGGATACTTTTATAGAACAATTACCCTTACGTTTTTTTAGCCATTGTCTGACCTAATGAACAAGGTAAAATTTGTGTAAGCTATAATGGAAGTTGGAGAAGTTATTCAGTTTTATGATTCTGATAAGCGGTTTCCTGCTTGGGGATTTGGAGGAATGATACCCGGTAGTACCGTATCTCACTGTTTTAATCTGAATGGGAATCTAGCTAGCTATGAGGTGAGAAATTCTTTCTGTTGCTTATAGTAGAATGGTTCTTTTACTTCTATCTCTATTCATCCCTAGAGAAGATAGAAACTTGTGCCGCAAAGCAATGATTTTAGATAATTCCTGGAAAGGTGGAAAACTATTGTTAATTCCTTCTTTAATAAACTCAGTTTTACCTCATTCGTTGATTCTAATGATAATAACATTCACATAGAATATTGATCATATGAATGATGAGTATGAGAATAAACTCAATGAGTTTTTAAAATTTGTTGTAAAAATTCTTCGTAAAAAACTTACATCTCTATGTTTTCTCATTGCCAATTTTTGAGCAAGTCATAATATCAATGTGGCAACAAATTATTATGCATAACATTTCAAGGAAGGACTCTTACCTTCTTGCGCATTGATCATGAACTTGATACATTCTTTAGGTGGTAGGAGTTGAAGGCATAATGGAAGCTTATGCTAATGCTTTACACACAGGTTCCTTTCTACAGCCCAAGGATGATCCCGATAGTGAAATCTCCAAAGTAGTTCGAGCTATAAGAAAAAAGTTGCAGCAGATTAAGATGCTTGAAACTAAGCATTCTAAAGGACATATTCTCACTGCAAGGGTTAAAAACTTTCTATAACTAGTTTAGAGCCAGTTTGATGTAGCATGTAGGATATTTCTTCTCCCCTGAACACTCCTAGTGAATATTCTCGAGCCACAGACGTTCGAACACAAACATACATACATAAAAATTAATTAATTATTAAATTATAACTACAGGGGAAACTTGAACCAAAGAAATACACTTTTTGACATAATCAGGGGGGAGTGTTCCATGACTCGATTCGCACTGTTTCATGCTTCATCGTAGCTTCAATCTTCTGTAAGTTCTCTCTCCCCCGTCTACAATAATATTCAATTCTGTTTATTACTATGGTTTTGACGAAATAGCATAAGAATTTTTTACCTATATATTTATGTAGTTAATTATTGATTGGAATTAATAATGTAGGGAAATGTTTGAAGTATCAAGTTCTATCAGTGGTGTAGCGGTTCAACTAAACATGATATACCTGATGGTGAAGAAAAATTGAGAGCTATATGTACAGTTTGTGACAAGATTGCTTATCGAAATCCCAAAATGGTAACTGCTACTACCTAGAATGCTTATTTGTAGCTTCTGTTTAATACAATCCAGTGTCTGTGTGAAGTAACTTCCTATTTCTATAAATTTGCAGCATGTTATTCAGGGATTGCCTTCTTCTCTGGTCCCTGCATCTTGTTGTAATGCACTGCTAGAAGCTTGTCGTGTAAGTTTCACTTTGATGTTTCCATATTATTCTAATTTAATAGAAATCTAGGACCATACAAACAAGTACTTATGTCTTTTAATCAAAATTCATTTCCAATGATTGTTGTCTAATGAAAAGGTTTTCAAAATTTCTATCTAAATTCTTGAAGTTATAATAACTTCTACAATCAGCTGCAACTATTAACCATGCCCAAGCAATTGTTATAACCTTATTAGAAGAATATACCAATTGTTATAACCTTATTAGAAGAATATACCAACATATTTGGGGTAATTATGTGTCACAATGTTACATTTTGCATGGTTTCCATTCTTAAAATGAAACCATGATGAGATTATTTTCAAAATCCTCGGAAACTAATCAAACCTATAAAGCTACTACTCAAAGCTAACTAGAGGTAATCTGATAACATTACACAGTTCTCAAAGTCGTGAAAGTTTGTTGTCACCCTTGACCAAACTAGATGCGTCCGACAGCAATTCCTGCTCTTAAGCCAGGGCTTCTCCTCCACGGGATCACGAATATGTTGTTTGGGAAGATTGTTATCTACGCCAAAAGGAAGTGTCGCCTAACTTGAAGCAATTGAGACTCAGCGTGACAAGTTCCCTCTGTGTTTTCCTTGTTTTGCTTTCCTTTTTCCTGCGGGTCGGTCTGGATTTTACATACAGCATCATACCAGCATACACATTTGTTTTCATTTGGTTTCGGTCTCTGTTTGTTTGGATGTCGCCCTTGAGATCCTTTGGTCTTTACCTCTATCGTTGATCTTCTTGCAACAATTTTCGCTTCGAAGTTGACATCTTGGGATTGCTACCTTCTCTGAGAAGCTAGTGGTGACTAGCAGTATCCGATTTACACAAATGGGCGGTTGTTACCAATGTTCATCTCTAATTTGGTTATCACCAATAATCTTCAAAAGTCTAGTAATTACTAGCATTGCTTGGAACCAAATATGTTTGGTGTCTCGATTTGGTCGTTACCAACAATTTTTCAAGAATTAGAGATCCTCTGGAGAAGACAGTTTTTACAATGAATGGGCCATCGTAGTTGGGCATCCACTTGCCGTGCATATCCTTCTGAGTTGTTAAGACTTTTCGGAGCACAAGCTCTCCTTCCCTATACTCTTTGGGACGAACCTTCTTGTTGAACGCTCTTATCATTCTTTGTTGATAGATCTGACTATGACACATGGTCGTCATTCTTTTCTCATCAATGAGGTTCAATGAGTCAAACTTTTCTTTTATACATTCATCTTCCTCGAGCTCGGCCTCCATCAAGATCTTTAAAGAAGGTATCTTGACTTCGATGGGTAGTACAGTGTCCATCCCATATACTAAGGAAAAAGGAGTTGCCCATGTTGAAGTTAGCACTGATGTTCGGTATCCATGCAAAGCAAATGGTAACATCTCGGGCCAATCCTTGTAGGTTATGACCATCTTCTGTACTATTTTCTTGATATTTTTTGTTGCAGCTTCAACTGCGCCATTCATCTTTGCTTAGGACATGATCAGGTGTACCTTGGGACAAGCAAAGATCCATGGTTTCCAAGATCTTTCAGATGCCTTCACTCAACAATATAAATACAACATGGACTTAGCTCTAGATCGTCGTCAGCTTCTCAGCATGACACAAAAAAGCACTGAAACCTTTAAAGATACGTGCAAAGATTTGCGCGTACTCTTTAAAGGCTTCAGTGCTTTTTTGTGTCATGCTGAGAAGCTGACAACGATCTAGAGCTAAGTCCATGTTGTATTTATATTGCTGAATGAAGGCATCTGAAAGATCTTGGAAACCATGGATCTTTGCTTGTCCCAAGGTACACCTGATCATGTCCTAAGCAAAGATGAATGGCGCAGTTGAAGCTGCAAACAAAAATATCAAGAAAATAGTACAGAAGATGGTCATAACCTACAAGGATTAGCCCGAGATGTTACCATTTGCTTTGCATGGATACCGAACATCAGTGCAAACTTCAACAGGGGAAACTCCCTTTTCCTTAGTATATGGGATGGACGCTGGACTACCCATCAAAGTCAAGATACCTTCTTTAAAGATCTTAATGGAGGCCGAGCTCGAGGAAGATGAATGGATAAAAGAAAGGTTCGACTCATTGAACCTCAATGATGAGAAAAGAATGACGACCATGTGTCATAGTTAGATCTATCAACAAAGAATGATAAGAGCGTTCAACAAGAAGGTTCGTCCCAAAGAGTATAGGGAAGGAGAGCTTGTGCTCCGAAAAATCTTACCAACTCAGAAGGATATCCACGTCAAGTGGATGCCCAACTACGATGGCCCCTTCATTGTAAAAACTGTCTTCTCCGGAGGATCTCTAATTCTTGAGACTATGGATGGCGAACAACTCAAGTATCCCATCAACTCAGATGCAGTGAGAAAGTACTATGCCTAAAAGCAGAAAACCTAGAAAGGAGATTCCAGTGCTTCAGCAAGACAGAAGTCCAAAGTTTGAAAGCTGACGAACGCCGGGGCAAAGTCTTGTACAAGGTGGTAGAAGAAAGATCAATGTCTATCATTCTCGTCAGAAGCAGCGAAGCAAGTGAACTAACAGTTAAAAGGACTGGATTATTATGGGATTCTGTAACCTTTTCTGTTTGCCATTTTTTTTCTTTTTCCAAATGTATAAATTTCCCAAGACTTTTCACTTTGTAAAGTTCTTGTCTATTAATAAAATCATATTTTGGCCAATCATTGTTATGATCCTCTGTTTTTGTTATGCAATTTCACTTATTTGTTAATAAAGATTTTTCGAAAAACAAAGTGTTTTGAAAAACATAAATTTTGTTTTAAAAAGAAAGCACAATTTGACAAAACGATTGAAGAGCTCTAGAGGTAATCTGATAACATTACACAGTTCTCAAAGTCGTGAAAGTTTGTTGTCACCCTTGACCAAACTAGATGCGTCCGACAGCAACTCCTGCTCTTAAGCCAGGGCTTCTCCTCCACAGGATCACGAAGATTTTGTTTGGGAAGATTGTTATCTACGCCAAAAGGAAGTGTCGCCTAACTTGAAGCAATTGAGACTCAGCGTGACAAGTTCCCTCTGTGTTTTCCTTGTTTTGCTTTCCTTTTTCCTGCGGGTCGGTCTGCATTTTACATACAGCATCATACCAGCATACACATTTGTTTTCATTTGGTTTCGGTCTCTGTTTGTTTGGCTGTCGCCCTTGAGATCCTTTGGTCTTTACCTCTATCGTTAATCTTCTTGCAACAATTTTCGCTTCGAAGTTGACATCTTGGGATTACTACCTTCTCTGAGAAGCTAGTCGTGACTAGCAGTATCCGATTTACACAAATGGGCGGTTGTTACCAATGTTCATCTCTAATTTGGTTATCACCAATAATCTTCAAAAGTCTAGTAATTACTAGAATTGCTTGGAACCAAATATGTTTGGTGTCTCGATTTGGTCGTTACCAACAATTTTTCAAGAATTAGAGATCCTCCGAAGAAGACAGTTTTTAAAGTGAAGGGGTCATCGTAGTTGGGCATCCACTTGCCGTGCATATCCTTCTGAGTTGGTAATATTTTTCGGAGCACAAGCTCTCCTTCCATATACTCTTTGGGACGAACCTTCTTGTTGAACGCTCTTATCATTCTTTGTTGATAGATCTGACTATGACACATGGCCGTCATTCTTTTCTCATTTATGAGGTTCAATGAGTCGAACCTTTCTTTTATCCATTCATCTTCCTCGAGCTCGGCCTCCATCAAGATCTTTAAAGAAGGTATCTTGACTTCGATGGATAGTACAGCGTCCATCCCATATACTAGGGAAAAGGGAGTTGCCCCTGTTGAAGTTCGCACTGATGTTCGGTATCCATGCAAAGCAAATGGTAACATCTCGGGCCAATCCTTGTAGGTTATGACCATCTTCTGTACTATTTTCTTGATATTTTTGGTTGCAGCTTCAACTGCGCCATTCATCTTGGGTTTGCAGCTTCAACTGCGCCATTCATCTTTGCTTAGGACATGATCAGGTGTACCTTGGGACAAGCAAAGATCCATGGTTTCCAAGATCTTTCAGATGCCTTCATTCAACAATATAAATACAACATGGACTTAGCTCTAGATCGTCGTCAGCTTCTCAGCATGACACAAAAAAGCACTGAAACCTTTAAAGATACGCGCAAAGATTTGCGCGTACTCTTTAAAGGCTTCAGTGCTTTTTTGTGTCATGCTGAGAAGCTGACAACGATCTAGAGCTAAGTCCATGTTGTATTTATATTGCTGAATGAAGGCATCTGAAAGATCTTGGAAACCATGGATCTTTGCTTGTCCCAAGGTACACCTGATCATGTCCTAAGCAAA